TCGATACAGGACTTTAGAATATCAATACAGTATCGGGAAATGAAATATCGCAATATTTCAGTGTATCGATATTTTCTTACACCCCTAATAAAAACTAATTAAAACTAACTGAATTAAAAGAAAAAAATGTCACAACAAAATAAAACTAAACTATGTTGAAAAATCCTAAACTAGCCACTGTCCTGCATGCTTTTCTCTGCTCCAACACACCTGATTCAGTGACTGAATCACCTCTTCAGGTTCTGCAAAAGCCTGTTAATAACCCATTCATTCAAATCAGGTGCGTTGGAGCAGAGAAACAAGTCAAACCTGGAGGATAGTGACCCTCCAGGTCCAGGATTAGAACCCCCACSCTCCCCCTGATCCAAACAGTTTGTTTCAAACCAATGCATCCAGCCATCAAGGATCGTAATAACCATTGATCTATATTAGATCAATGTTAATAACCCTCTGGAGGGAAGGAAAGAGGCGCGATTTGCGTGTGAGTTCAGCTGGCATTAATACAACACCTCACTGTAGCTGAAGAGCTTGGAGCTCTTGCCTTTTAAAAAGTGTTAAACTGATAAAAACCCTTAATATTTGACACATCCTGAATGTCTGAATCTGCACCAGAGAAGCTAATAGGAGTGTTTGAACAGTGGCCCTGCTCTTATAAATCACACACCTGCTGTTGAAAACACGCCTGAAATGTAACGAAGTGTTTGTTATAATGTTAATAATCAACACTGAGGGTTTGCAGACTCCCACCTGAAGGACCCCRAACACAACACAATGTGTTGTGATGACGGGCGGGCCCCCCTCCGAGGAGAGTGTTGACAAACGACCTTTAATGTTGCCACCGAAGCTCTCCGTCTTACCGACACCCGACCGGAAATATCTTACCGAAGACAGACGGGACGGCCTCACACGACCACCTGCACCCAGCAGACAGAAGGAGCGAAGAGCAACAAACAGGAGTCATTATTATTTCCAGAACAGCTAGCCATGACGCCTCAGCAGTAATGTCGGAAAGAGACACAAAGCTTCTCGCTGATTGGCTGCAGCTGTACGTCACTCAGCTCACAGAGAGGCGGCAACCCGGAAAAATATCACAAAAAACAACAAGAAAGAGGATAAAAATCATATTTAACGTCATTTATTCACACAGGTATGTAACTTACGTCTGGCGTGCGTTTATAAATTCAACCTATTGACATTTAAGGTGCGTTCTTGACGCAAATGCATTATGGGTAATGTAGTCTAAAAWCCATTAACTTGTCAGACAGAAGACCAGACACATCCAGAGGCGCCGGCCAGGGGGGACCAAGGGGGGCAATGACTCCTGCAAATTAAAATAAAAAATATATATAAATTTTAAAAAGCACCATACTGTTTTAAATTTCTTTATCCAGGTTAGTTGGGTGAGAACAAATTCTCATTTTCAATGAAAATCTGGCCAAGAGGCAGAAAATACAGACCAGCAGATGGACAATATTTAGTCAACTGTCAAGAAATAAGAACTACCAAAGTACCACAAAGTGATACTTGAGTAAAAGTACAAGTATCTTACCAAAAAAATACTTTGGTAAAAATTAAAGTCTCCTTTAGGAATATTACTTAAGTAAAAGTTTTAAATCTGATATTTTTTTGTACTTAAGTATTAAAA